ACTCGTTCAAGCTGCAGGTAGCATAATTCTTGAAGAGCAAAGTCAAGTGTGCAAGAAACAATGTCCTGCACTGCAGGCTGGGAGAACACCAAGAGTGTATGCAGTTTTTGTTGAGGATTGCCATTGTTACCAGCACAATACAAAAATCCACTGCACTGTACAGCACTTCTCTGGTGGAGAGCAGGAGACAGGAAATGGCCTCCCCTCCAAGAGGCTTGGAGACAGAACAACTGACTGAGGCAGCTCATGCTCCAGCCAACAAGGCCAATTCTTTGACCAACACAGAATAGCATGGCATGGAGCTTGTTCGATTAGCACCGCCCCCCTTCCATCAAGAAGCAAGGAGCTAGTGGCATTGTAGAAGCACTCTTATTTCTTATGTTAGAGAAATAGCAAAGGATTTGATAACAATTGGCCATTGTTTGATCAGTAAATTATCTTTAAAAAACCAGATTAGCAGCAGCTATGGGGGGATCTCAAGAATGCATAGTATTCATAAAAGCTGGCTCTGAATTGCTCCTACAGATGGGCCCTAATGCCAGTAAACAAGTGATTATGCACACTAGAACCTTCCTTTCCTACAAACAGCTAAGGAAGGAGACTTTCTTTAAACAACAAGGCAAAAACTGAAAGGGAGGGGAAAAAAGCATAACTATAGATATTCATAGCTTCACTTCATTTTGCTGATGAGATGTCACAGTAGCCAACAGGAATAATATATTTTCTTTTAAATTAACAAATGTCATGGTGGTTAAGGGTGGGTGTGGATGCAGAGAAAGAACTTGGCAAGAAAATATTCAGAGCCTCTTGCAAAAGCAACTGCAACCCAAACACCCTTCCAGATCGACAAGAACCACCTGCTATGACAGAGAGGTTTTAAAAGATGAACCAAGGAGATGGCCTTACATTGTTTTGACCCATTTTAATATAAATAAAGAAACTTACAGACATGTCAGATATATACCATACTTTTAATCTTAGCATTTTGGAAGCAAAGCAAGCCGATCTCTATGAGTTTGAGGCTAGCCTGGTCTACATGGGAAGTGCCAGCCTAGCCAAGGTTATATAGTGACACCCTGGAGATGGGGGTGGGGGTCAGGGGTCAGGAGTATTTGAATATTTGGGGAGCTGGAGAAATGGCCAGGAGGTTAAGAATGCTTGCTGCTCCTCCTCTTGCAGAGAACCTGAGTTATTCTCCTAGCTAGCACCCACAGTGGCCAGCCACAACAACCTGTAACTTCAGCATCAGGGAATCTGATGCCTCTTCTGGACTGCAGGCACCTGTATGTACATGATGCACACACATACACTCTGGCCCACACACATACACATAAAAAATACATGCCAACATTAGATTTCCCACCTATTATTAAACATAGAAAGAAATTATGCATATATTCCTATAGTAAGTCAACAAACACCCCTGGAAGTAGATGGCTTGCTACTGATAAGAGTAATAAGTACCCACACACATACTTGGAGTCTTAGTTAATCTTTGTAACAGTGCTGTGTTTTATAGTGCTTAAGGGCTGAAAAACAAAACAAAACAAACATACCCAGGTTCATACTCTAAAAGACCCGGGATTAAGAGAGTCATGTAAGATGCCCAGGTTCATACTATAAAAGACCCAGGTGGAATTTCTTCAAGTCTGCCCAGCTCCTAAGCCCACACTTCCAGCAACCCTGTGATGCTATGAATGCCATGATAAATGTATGCCATGGTCAATGTAGAGCTTTACATCCAAATCAAGATGAAAACAAACTACAGGGCATCTTCTTGGGTTTTAAAATCATTGGTAATTGTGAAGACATCAATGACATATCTGTGAACAGACAGAAAAGAAAGATTTTAACTCCATACAAAATGCTTAGGGGAAGACAAACAATTTTGCTTGGTGGATATAAAGTCAGGAATTTGTTTCTTTTCTCTCTTTTATTTTCTTCTGTTTAAAATTGAGTAATTAGTATGGGCACCATTCATAGCTCCCTGCCCTTTAAGACATAACACCAATGTGCTGCTAATTCTGCTAGCCGGGAAATGGAACATATGACTGGGAAATGGGGTGTGTGTGTGGGGGGGAACTACTAGATCCCCTAAGACTAATTGGAGGCCATCCCCAGAACCAAGGGCTCATGACTAAACTAAGTTACAGATATGAATAGGAAGTAAAGGTATTCTCTACACCTATGTTCTCCACAAGCTTTCTGGTAGGTACATGGGAAAGGCCTGGACAGAACAGCAGGTGTGCCTAGCTACTCCCGAGGTCACAAAGCTGGCTCCCAGGAGCACTGTAGACATCTGCTGCAGCTACAAGGCTGTCCCTGCCAAACCTCAGATCTGGGAATGACTATGGTTTGCAGGGAGTCTCAACAGGAATAGCTCAGCTATTTTAGTCCTGGTCACTAGTAGGAAGTTTTGGATTTCCACATTAACTCAACAAACTCTTGGTGATGCCTGGTAAACAAAAAAAAACAATAAGGGGGCTGGAGATATAACTCACTGTTTAAGAACACTTTTTTGACAGGGTGGAGGGTGGCACATGCCTTTAATCCCAGCACTCAGGAGGCAGAAACAGGCAGATCTCTTGTGAGTTTGAGACCAGCCTAGTCTACAGAGTGAATTCCAGGACAGACTGACTCCAAAGCTACAGAGAAACCCTGTCTTGAAAAAGAAACAGAACAGAAAAAAAGGAAGGAAGGAAGGAAAGAAGAAAGACTTGTTCTTGCAGAGGACCTAGGTTCAGTTCCCAGCAACCACATGGCAGCTCACAACCATCTATAACTCCAGTTTCCAGGAATGTGACCCCTTCATCTTGATTTCCTGCAGCATCAGACACATACATGGTGCACAGACATGCATGCCAACAAAACACGCATACAAATACATGACACTCACTCAGAAGGCAGAGGCAGGATGATCTCTGAATTTGAGGACAGCCTGGTCTACATAGTGAGTTCCAGAACAGTTAGGACTGCACAGAGAAACGTGTGTGTGGTGTGTGTGTGTGTGTGTGTGTGTGTGTGTGTGTGTGTGTGTGTGTGTGTGTGATAGCTGGTACACCCCTTTCATCCTAAGCATTTGGGGGACAAAGACAAGCTGATCTCTATGAGTTCTAAGCCATCCTGGTTTACATAGTTCCAAATGAGCCAGGACTACATAGTGAGAGCCAGCCTCATAACAACAACAATATGATTTTGTTATTATTATTAATTTAGATATCAGGTGGAGCCCAGCTAAATATTGATTACTGACTTGTGAGATCATGCCTTGGTGATTGTTTCTAAGAGGAAGAAACATTGTTTCCTTAGAACTTACTTTAAGCATTCTTGGTAACAATGTGACACATACAGTTCCCGCCTTTGCCTTTGCTTGTGTGTGTGTACATATGCATGAGAACATTTTACAAAGAGGAAGTGTTTCCATTTCATAAAACTAAGGGAAGGTGTCAACCCTTTTGCTCGTTTTTTGAGACAATCTCATTACAAGGCCCACTGGGTTCAAATTCTAGACATTTTACTGCCTCGGACTTCAAGGGCTGGGATGACAGGTCTGATCTTTTTCTTTTCAAAATTTATGGTGTGCGTGTGTGTGTGTGTGTGTGTGTGTGTGTGTGTTAGTGAGTGAAAGAGTGAAATGTGAGTTGTGTATTCATGCCACTGCATCTGTGTGTAGGTTGGTCAGAGGAATGCTTTTGTGTCCTTGCTTTACACCCCTTTACACGGGTGGGGATCCAATTAATGTTCAGAGGCTTGCAAGGCAAGTGCCTTTACCTTGTAGGTAAGTTCTCACCACTTTGCCTTTTTCTTTTGAGTTGAGTGACTATGTGCTAAGCATGACCCACAACTGCTTGACTCAAATCATCCTACTGGCATCGGCCTCAGAAAAAGTTGTGACTACACGTAAGCTCTTTTCTAAAGAAATCACACACACACACACACACACACACACACACACACACACACCCTTAATGATGTTAAGGTTGACATAAAGTTGACATAAGATTGTTGTTTGTTGTGATTGCTACTATTCCCATAGAAGGGGTTCCCAAATTACTTACTTAAAATTTAAATTTCGGTGACGTGAAAACTTAAAAGATGGGAGGGTATGTGTGTGGGCACTTTCACTAAACTACTGTCTCATGATTCCTGGAGCTCACCTTCAGAAGTTAATGGTTACCACAGGGGGTATTTAAATGTAAGTACAAGGACTTAGCAAGAAAATTGAAAACTACCCACAGATATGCTGGTGTGCACAAGCCCTGAACTTCAGGGAAAACTGAGCTCTGCTTGTTCGGAATCCAGCTTCCCACAGGCGGTTTCTTCATTACTTAACCGTGCAAGTGGAAATTTGTGCAAAATAGAGGAACTTACGGGGGGGCGACTTTGAACATGAGACACTGCAGACTTATTTCTTTCGAGTGACAAGTGGGGACGCAAGAGACACAACTCTTGGATCGGCCAGACAGCCCCCCTGCAAGGCCCACGTGGCCAAAGTAAACAGAAGGTGGGCCTGGGCGGGGAGATCCCGGGGCGCCGCCGATTTGCAGCCTTGTGGAGTCCTTAAAGCCCTGGCCCCTTGAGCTTTCTGGGCACGGTCTTAGAGAAATGGGGAGCGGCTTGGCTGGGCCACAGGGAGGGAAGGGCGGGTGGCAGGGCGTGGGGACAGTGAGGGGCGGTCCGGTGCGGTGCCGGGAGCGGGAGCGCGCGGGCGGGAGCCGAGTTTGCAAGTGCGGCCCGGGCCCGCGGGGGACGGAGGCGCCGGGGCTCACGCGCGCGCGCGCGCGGAGGGGTGCGGCGGGCGGGCGGGCGGCCTGGGGGCTGCAGAGAGCCCGGGGCGGAGCGGAAAAGAGGAGGCCCCGAGCCCCCGGGGAGGGAGGGAGCGAGCGAGCCAGCGTCCAGCCCCGATCCCGCGTCCCCGCGAACCAGCGAGCGAGCGCACAGCCGGGACCGCCGCGCCCGTCCCCGCGAGCCAGCGAGAGAGCGCACAGCCCGCGCCCGCGCCCGCGCCGCTCGCATGCCAGTCACGTCCGCCCCCTCGGCGGCCGCCCGCCCGAGAGCCGGCCCCGGCGAGCCGGGAGAACAGACGTCAAACTGCCTTATGAATATTGATGCGGAGGCGAGGCTGCTTTCGTAGAGGAGCAGAAGGAAGCAAGATGGCTGCCCTGTAGGATTTGTTAGAAAGGAGACCCGGCAGACGGCGGCGGACTGCGAGGCTGGGGGACCAGATCCAGGTCAGAGCGCTGCTGCCCGCGCCTGTCTCCCTCCCGCTCTCTCTCTCCCCTCGCTCTTTGGGGCAGCGGATCGGTCCCTTTCCAAGCCCCGTCGCTTTCTCTCGGCCTTGCGGGGACTGTCATGTCACCCACAAATACCAAGAGGGAAGAGGGAAGCCTCACAAATTACTGGAGCTTCTTCAACATGGCTGACAAATATAGTTTTAATTTAGCAGCCCCCCCCCCTCTCCCGCTACCTGCACTTCTGGGGTCCCTTCTTCCTGCTAATGCGTGTCCCCCTCCTTAGCCAGAAAACTTACCTTTGTACCTCCTCCCACCAGCCGCTCTCCCGGCCTTTGAGTCGCAGGAAAGTGAGTGTTTTCTTGGGGCTGCCTCTCTGAAAGAGCTCATCTTTGGGGATCACCACTTTTCTTTTCGGTCCTCCTCCCCCCTGTCCTCAGTGTAAGTCGATTGAGTCCCTCGTTTATCCTCAGGCAACCCGGAAAGAACGCCGACCCGGTGTTTTTGACTCTTTTATCCCCAGTACTATTTGTTTGGGTCCCGTTCTGGGTCTGTGTCTCTGGCTTCCAGCACGTTTGTGCCCCTGTGGACGACTCCACTAGATAAATGTCACAGTGAGTGGATTCGGGATCCACTACGTGGACTTTTTCTTCTTCTCTATCTCTTTTTTTTTTTCCTCTTGAGTCCGCGCGTTTTGTTAGTGGCGCTGAGTAAGAGAGGAAAGCATAGTTTCTCTGTGCCCCCAGACAAGACCAGCACCCACTTTTCTCAAGGTTCACAAGCTCTGCGTGGGCTGTACCTTCCAGTTTAGGAAATGTGTGCTAGAGAATCTGTGCAAATCTGTGTGTTGGCTTTGTGCTGCCCCCGAATCTGCTTGGTTCTGATCCCCGGTAAGTGACAGGCACACACAAAGGCCGGCGCAGGCCGAGGGAGGGGGCGGGAGAAGGGCTCCGAGCTGGAGACTGCAAGGTCAGGGGCGCCCAAAGACGTGGAGCCCAATCCTGGCTGGCGAAGACCTCCAACAGTCCCATCCCAAATCTCCTGAACTCTAGCTTTCACTCTTTTCTTTGGTCTCTCGCTGCCTCCCATCCCCATACTCTTCACTCTCATCTTGACTCTCTCCACCAGAACTGCTTGCTTACTGTTAGAAAGCTAGTAGGGTTTCTATGGAGAGTTTTCTACATATGGCCAAACCAAGTGTGGCCTGGACAGACTCCTAGGAAGGTCCAGTTGCTTGCTGGTTAATACTTTCATGACAGATTTTTGAGGGCTTTGAGGGATTTTTCTTTCTCCCTATTAATGACTTGGAATAGGAATAGGTTATTTGTGTGTGTGTGTGTGTGTGTGTGTGTGTGTGTGTTTGTTGTTGTTGTTGTTTTGTTTTCCTCAAGTTGTTCGCTTAAATTTTAGGGAGATGTTTTAGTGTTTGCCTATCTGGGGAGCAGAATACATCCGTGGATTTAAAAAAAAAGCACAAGTCACACACACAGTACTTTTGCTCTAATTAAGGATTATAATGTCAATTTATACTCAGAAATACTCATAAGGATAAGATTGCATGTTAGGGGAAGTTGGGATTCATGGGGGAAATATATTGGTTTGGTTAAAGACTGCGTATTGTTGCCTGGCTAATGAAATCATTATATTTGCATTTTAATGGAAAGTTGAAATACTAAAGGGAACTTAAGTTCTTCTCCATGTTTCTATGAGTGTTTTGTAATGCATTTTGGATACAGTATAAATTACAACATAAATAGTAATTTTAAAAAATGTTATTAAACTACCGTGTTTGTGATGGATTGGGGGTTAAGCTTGAGATCAGGAGGGATTGATTTGATTATAAGGTAGAAGGAAAGTCATATAGCTGCACCAATCAAATCTCCAAACTTGCTCACCCTCAGTAATTCATTTCATAAGTTTTTCTGTTTTGGTTTGTAGAAACATGGCTAAGTTCGCTTTAAGCTTGGTCCTAGGGGCTCATCCACATGACCAGAAGGAAGAAACATTACTCATCCCTGAACAGAAACAGTTCATTGGTTCTGATTTGCCCTAAAGTAATTCACAGGGTTTTTTTTTCTTTTCTTTTCTTTTTTTTTTTTTCTTTCCTCTCACCATAAATGCTTATTGTTGGTTAAGAAAACTATGGCCAGTTATGCCATCGATCAGGAATTTAAAAAGAGTAATTTGGTCAGGCAGTGGTAGCACACATCTTTAGTCCTACCATTCAGAGGCAGAGGCAGGCAATTTCTGTGAGTTCAAGGCTAGCCTGGTCTACAGAGTGAGTTCCAGGACAGGTTTTAGGAAAGAAAGAAAGGAGTTTGTTTTGCTTGACTAGTATTGACTAGTAGACTGGTGTGTAGTGACTTCTTTGGGAGCAGGTTTTCAGAGTTGTGATCTTTTATGTTCTCCAACTACGAGTGTTTTCCATTCTAATCTAATCAATAAAAGTACTTACATTGGTGGGTTGGTTTTGGTTTTTGGTTTTTTTTCTTCATGTTATCATAGAGATCTGCTCTTTGCTGTCATGAAACTGAGAATTTTTTCATTTTAGGCATCTTAGTTTTATGCTAAAAACAGCTGCTAATTGTGATTATTTTAAGGGTTTCGGTGAAAGTTTGTGTATTATTGAACATTCTAAATAAAAAACATAACACTCTCATTTCTTAGTGAATTTATTTAAGCAAACATGGGATGAGGATTGCACAAAAACCTTTTGCTTACTGCATGTGTAGAAGTACCATCTAGGTCTTCTAAAAGTTCTTAAGAGCTAGCTGTCTTAGTTGATTTTCCTTTAGAGAAAAATATTGAACAATAACAAGATTGGTAGTTTCTAAAAAATGCATTGTTTTGTCTATTTGCATTTGCATATTGGCTGTTGAGAGATTAACCTGGAATGAGACTTTGCTTTGTTTAAATTTGCTTGTTTGTCAGATATGTTTAAGGCTTTCAGTAGATGTACTGGTGTTGTGTCTGTGCCAGGAGCCAGGGCGATGGTGTCCTTCCCATGTGGCAACATATGACCTTGCATACCAGCATCATCATCACTTCCAGAGCACGGGTGCACACCTGCTCTGGGCTTGTTATGATGACTTCCCCAGCCCTTACTGGCTGCTGTATTTGTGCTTCACATTGGTTTCCCTTGTTGAAGCTAGAAATTCCCCATCAATTACTCTAAGCTCCACCCCAAGACCCTGTTGAAAGCCAAGGGCCAAGATTTCCTTGTTTGTTAGCTTCATTTGGAAACCCTTTTTATGAATCAGTTACATCTAAAAGACAGACCATTTTCCATTATTACCTAAGCAAATTAGTCAACTTTTATGAAACAATCACCAAATAAAGTGTCTGAGCTGGGTATGGTGTGTCAAGTCTGTAATCTTAGCACTTGGCAGGCCAAGGCAGGAAGATTGCTAACAATTTTGGACCAATTAGGGTCCATTTCAAGAAAACAAACAAACAAACAACAACAACAACAAAAGTAGTAGATGATATTTGATATGAAATATCAGTATTTTAGGATATCTCAAATTTTATGAATTTTATGTTAGCTATGATACTTATGCTATAATTGTTTCTAACTTTTCAATTGTTATTTTTAACAATTGTTATTTTTTGTGTATGGTGTTTGATTGCATGTATGTATATGCACTGTGTGCATGCTTGGTGCCTTTGGAGGCCAGAAGAAGATATTGAATCCCTGGATGAGCTAGTTGTGAACTGCCTTGTGGGTGCTGTTTGGAACCCTGATCCTCTCTCTGCCAAGAGCAGTGAGTGCTCTTAACTGCTGAGCCATCTCTGCATCCTCACATTTTCCAATCTTATATAGCTTACTGCTAGAAGACACAATATAATTGTTTCTTGAATGGGACAATGTTGATTCATCAAAGTCATACTTCCTTGAGGATTATGCCACCATTGAATAGTAATTCCTGGGGGGGGGGGCAGCAACAGTACCAAAATCAGCAGCAGGAAATGTCTCCTAAACCAGCTTTACAGTTGGAGCCTTAGCTGTGGGAGAGTCCAGTTGCCAAGCAGAGCTGGTGGTTATCCTGGAAGCTGTGTTAAAGAACACAACCACAGTGATTTTTGCCAAACACACAGTATTTACATGGGGCTAGTGCTCTGGTTTCCATTACAGTTTACTGCCAAAACTTAGTGAATACTGTGACATTATTGAATGAGGTTTACAGCGCATCTGTTGGTTTATGTAGAGCTCTAGCAGGGGAGGAGTGCAGTCAGAGTATGTGTGAAACAATGACCACAAGGAGGAAAAAAAATGGATGCATGTTACACTTGCCCCTTTCCAACAGTAGGTGTTCTAACTATGGAATGGACAGTGCAGAAAATTCCAGGCTTAAGATAGATATATCATCTTTCTCAATATAATTACTTTGAGTTTTCATTTCCAATGTAGCAAATTCTCACTTTTGACTTTCCCATATATATATATATGGTATTTAGGGACTGGAGAGACAGCTCAACAGTTAAGAACACTTGGCCCAGCCAGGTGGTGGTGGCACACACTTTTAAGCCCAACACTCAGGAGGGAGGCAGAGACAGGAGGATCTCTGTGAGTTCGAGGCCAGCCTGGACTGCAGAGCAAGTTCCAAGACAGGCTCCAAAGCTACAAAGAAACCCTGTTTCAAAAAAGCAAACAAAACAAAAGAACATTTTGCTAAATCATGAGAACTGGGACTTGAATCCTAGCACCTAATTGGGCAGCTTACAAAATACCTTTAACTACAGATCCAAGGATTCCAACACCCTACTTCAACCTATGCAGACACCTGAACACACACAGATAAATCTTAGGCTGGACATGGTGGTGCATACCTTTATTTTGTTTATTTTTTATGTGTATTTCTCTGTTTATATTGCACTATTTTCCTGCAGTGCCAACAGATGGCCAGAAGAGGGCATCATAAAATCCCTTGAAACTGGAGTTACACAGATCACCAAGTGAATGCTGGGAATGATCCAGGTCCTTGAAGAGCAATCAGTGC